AAATGCAGGATCTAAGCGCACTTGTTTCCGCGGGTTGGCACAATGGTGTTGGGGTGGAGTTCTGTAAAGATGCATGTAAATCACAACCGAATTGCTTTGGATTCAATTGGTGGGTGAGTTGATCTTATCAACAACATCTCTACTCAATTTCGCCACTCCATCATTTGCTTGCACCCGAATAGTCAGGGATTACTCTCATCATCGTAAGGTTGGGGCGGGAGTGATCAAACGCTTGCACGTCTCGTCCCGTTCTCACTTGTTTCTCCAGTTCAGTCACTGCAACCTTCAATTTTCGTTTGGTCCCAATCGCATTTGTTCATTTACTCAAATGCCCTAATTTGGGATGGTTGCATAAACAATCTATGTTATTCACTTGGCATTGTAGATGGATGGAAGTGCCTGTCAGTTGGACGATACTGCCGGTTCGTATGCAATGTGGCGCTCTGGTTACCACCTGTACGAGATGAAATGTTGCGGTAAGTCAACAATCAACATTTGTGAGAACACCTCATGCTGTTCGTTCAATTTCTGTCCCATGTGTATAGAATTTCGGGCATTTAAATAAATGAATAGATAAACCTCTTTTCCACATGGTTCTCCAAATCGTTTCCCAAACTCCTTTCTCCTTTGTATCCCAGCGATTTGTCGTCATTTCCCTTCCTAATATATGCATTTCACTTCGTTGGAAGCGCGTATTCTGCTTAGTTGTCTGCAGTGGTTGGGGAAACTGTAGAAGCAGAAGTCGATCAACCATACCAGGTGATTTATGGGATGAACCAGTGAACGTGAGTTGAGTGTGATTTTGCGAAGCACGCACGATCAAGTCCACCCGCTTGACCATCCTCTGATTTCCGAATGCAGTTTCGAGCAACGAAGCCCTCTTGCACAAGTTCTTTAGAGCTAAGGCATTCGAATCGCTGAAGAGTTGAAGTACGTGTTCGCAGACATGAAACTAGTGTAATCCGTGAGAAGAGGGATTTCCGCGTGAACAGTGAAAACAGAACGGGACAGGCGTGTAATGCTGGAATAAATCAGAATGATCATTCCAAAAATACGGCTACCAATTGTGCTTGTGTCGACTACATATGAGGAGGCTTGTCACAAACGGAAATTTGCAGCTCACACAAATGGAAGATTATGCGAAATGACAGCTGACGACGCGAGTGATTCTAGCTGAATATGTGACACCATCAGTTAAGCCAGTGTGGAGAGATCATCTCTGACGCGTTGTAAGAAATTTCGTCGTGCGAACACGTAGCGTTACGTGAAGTAGCACGAGGCCCTAATCCACTCAGGACACGCAAATCAGGTGAAGGAGTACACCGTACGAGAACCGATGTGCAAGAGTTTGTCGAGAAAGTGCGCATGACATCATTTGCCCAACCTGAAGCTGCTGCTCGTACGAAGCGTGCTCAAAATCACAATAGTACCTAATAAGTGGCTGTGCTCTAATGGATCTACAGTCTGGTGATCAGTAGTATTTACGGATTGAAGAAGATACGGACACTTGAAGTAGAGATACCCTTCTTTGGAAAGTCATTCATTAGCAAACACAAGGCAATCGATTAGGGGCTATTGGAAACAAAAGCAAATATCTCATATGCACAGTGTTTATGAGAAATTAAACTTTTCAAGTGTCTTCTTGTGCTTTCCTGGATTTTTTTGAATATAATAATCAACATGGTACACTGGAAAGCGGCTCCATAGTTTCCATAGTAACTTTCAGCTTCTGTCATTGTTGGAGA